CATAAGAATTGATAGTGAAAATGCACTATACACGGAGCATGGCATGTCATAACACACCATTCGGCTGTTTGAAAAACATCAAATATATAAATCAGTGTCCAAAAAGAACTGTGCAAAGCAGGCAGTCTATAGACAAGAAATCTGTGAGTAGCTCTGTGACTCCTGCACTAAGTTGTCCACTAATAGGGAAATACATTCATAATTTATTAAAAGATAACACTTAAAATAATTTCAGGGGCTTAGATCAGATAATTTGATAATGTATGCATGTGTCCTGTTTGTCAGTAAAGTGACCCCATCTTCCTTAATAAATACAATTTAATAAGATGTCAGTTGGTATCTTTACCATCTAGTTTTAAAAGTATTTATTTGCAACCAATAATATAAATATTTTCAAATCTGCAAATATATAGAATGTTCATCTTAAACTTTCATATGGAAATTTTGCCCAGTAGTTAGGAATATGCATTTGAGAATGAAGAACCACTGACTCATTTATCCATTCAAATATTCATGATTTATTATTCACTAAGTGTCATAGTTCTGTAAGATGGGCTGTGGAGATATAGAGATAAAAATGGCACATTACTGGGGCGCCTGGGTGACTTAGTCGGTTAAGCGTCTGACTTTCGCTTAGGTCATGATCTCGTGATTCGTGGGTTCGAGCCCCGCGTCGGGCTCTGTGCTGACTGCCAGCTCAGAGCCTGGAGCCTCTTTCAGAGTCTGTGTCTCCCTCTCTCTCTGACCCTCCCCTGCTCACGCTGTCTCTCTCTCTCTCCTAGAAATAAATAAAAATATTTTAAAAAGAAAAAAATAAAATGGCACATTACTGTCTTGTTTATGACCTGTTGGAAAACAATGCAAAAAAAATCATATGGAAAGCTAAAATGAGGCAGATAATTGTGGATCAAAAGAAGGACATCTAGAGGGGAACCAGAGGAACAATGGCAGAATGACAATTAAATACTAAATACTAACAGAACTGAGTGGGTTGGTAGAATTTATTTGGTCTTTGCAAGTCACACTATAGTGGACATTTGTTAATTGTGCCCCCAGCACCAGTACAGGCCCTTGGCAGCTGTGGGTTTGGAGGGGGTTGCACATAAGCAGTTCGAGAGATAGGCTCTGGTTGGCTGATGGATAACATGTACTTGTAAAAATTGGTTCAGGAATGGACACATGGTGAAGAGATATGGTTAGGACTCGGGGTGGGGGTGGGGGGCAAAAAGGCTTCTTCTTGGCTAGAAGCTTCATAACAAGATTCTCTTTTTAAGTAGACAAGGGTGAAAAAGGATGATGCCCTGGGAGCTGTTTGCAGCCATCTTTCACCAATGAGAAAGGACCCAGCCTCAAAAGGGAATTAGCAGTGAAGAGGCATAAACTGAAAACGGAAATACTGAGCCCTGGTAATATTGTTGAGCCCTGAATCAAGTCATGCTTCGTAGTCAAGTGAGCAAATTCCTTTTATTGTAACCAGATTAAGTTGTGTGATCTGTATCTTGCAACCTAGAGACACCTAACACATCTGTTTAAAAATTAATATAGAGGAAACCTAGGGGAATGCATTTCTTTGAACTCCTCTCCTCCTCCTCTCCAAAATAGCAAGCATGTTCATTATCAACATAAACTTCCCAAGTGATGAGAAGAAGTATAAAATATATCCCATCTCATGTTACTTGCAGAGACATGACACAAAATAATTCTTTCTAAAGCAAATCTGGATGTAAATCCTTTGCAGATAAAGTGAGGCCTTACTTTACCATTCTAAGGTAGAACTCTGTATCCCCACGTTCATACAGTTTTGTTTACTGTGAGCCCAGAGACTCTAAGAAGAAATGAATGCATGCTGGAATACGGTAAGGGTCAGCCCTGAGGAGGCTTTTTAAAACAGGAGACACAATGAGTGCAACTTACTTGATGTGAAATGACACTGACTCTAAAGTATGAAGATGAAATGAAAATTGGAGGCAGATAATCTTTTTTTTTCCCTCCTTTCTCCACATCCTTTTTTTTTTTAAATAGTTTATTGTCAAATTAGTTTCCACATAACACCCAGTGCTCATCCCCATAAGTGTCCTCCTCTATGCCCATTCCCCCCCCACATCCATCAGTCCTCAGTTTTTGTCAGCATTCAAGAGTCTCTCATGGTTTGCCTCTCTCCCTTTCCCCCACCATTTCCCCCCTTCTTCCTCCGTCAAGTTCCTCCTAATCCTCCTATACGTGCAAACATATGATATTTGTCCTTCTCTGCCTGACTTATTTCGCTCAGCATAACACCCTCAAGGTCCATCCATGTTGCTACACATGGCCAGATTTCATTGTTTCTCATTGCCATGAAGTATTCCATGGTATAGATAAACCACATCTTCTTGATCCATTCATCTGTTGATGGACACTTAGGCTCTTTCCATGTTTTAGCTATTGTGGAGAGTGCTGCTATGAACATTGGGGTACATGTGCTCCTATGCATCAGCATTTCTGTATCCCCTGGGTAAATTCCTAGCAGTGCTGCTGCTGGGCCATAGGGGAGTTCTATTGTTAGTTTCCTGAGGAACCTCCACACTGTTTTCCAGAGGGGCTGTACCAGCTTACATTCCCACCAACAGTGTAGGAGGGTGCCCGTTTCTCCACATCCTCGCCAGCATCTAGAGTTCTCTGATTTGCTCATTTTAGCCACTCTAACTGCTGTGAGGTGGTATCTCAGTGTGGTTTTGATTTGTATTTCCCTGATGAGGAGGGATGCTGAGCATCGTTTCATGTGTCTGTTGGCCGTCTGGATATCCTCTTTGGAGAAGTGTCTGTTCATATCTTCTGCCCATTTCTTCACTGGGTTGTTTGTTTTTCGGGCGTGTAGTTTGGTGAGTGAAGGAGGCAGATAATCTATTCAATGTCTAAATGATACTCAATTATCAAATGTTTGGAAACTATTTGTAATAATATACTTTATTAAACTCTTTTTTTTTTTTAATATTTTCTTTATTTCTAGGAGAGAGAGAGAGAGAGAGCGTGAGCAGAGGAGGGTCAGAGAGAGAGGGAGTCACAGACTGAAACAGGCTCCAGGCTCTGAGCTGGCAGTCAGCACAGAGCCCGACGCGGGACTCGAACCCACGAACCGCGAGATCATGACCTAAGCCAAAGTCGGACGCTTAACCGACTAAGCCACCCAGGCGCCCCTTAAACTCTTAATCATACAGATTTCTAGCTGTTACTATACTTAAATAAATACCCGTAAGCATGCACACCCAGGTAACATGTGAAGAGTACAAAACAACTTTCTCAGCCTACGTGCCCTAGGGCCTTAACTGAAAAGGCTGATTTTTAAAACTGGGAATGGAGAAGGGAGGGAAAGGTTCTGGCTAATTCAGTGATGTACCGTAACAAGTAATTTGAAAGCCATTTTTACATCTTTTTAAAAAAATATTGTTTTTAGATTCTGAAATAATTATAGTTTCACACAAAGTTGCAAAGATAGATGCAGAGAGATTCCCTTTACCCAGCTTTCCCCAATGGTTACAGCTTACATACTTAATACCAAAACCAAGAACGTTACATGGGAACAAGGTGTTTAGTTCTATTATCTTATCACATGTGTAGCTCTGTGAGACCATCATGATCAGAATATAGAACTATTTTATCAACACAAAGATTTCCCACCTCCTCAAACACCAGAACAGAAGCTTCATGTAAAAATACTTAACTCTGTTTCAAGAGGAGTGTGCATTTTCTATTTGAACGTGGTCTAGACTACTTCATTGCTGTAAAATGTTGTTCCTACCCTGTGAATTAATGCCATGACCTATTAATAGGTCGTCATCCTCAATTAAAAAAAAAAAACACAATCAATCTGAACTCCCTGATTTATTTCCTGAACCCAGAACGTGGTTAGAGAGAAAGCACACAAACACACCTGATTTGTGGTGGATTCTCGTCTCAAGTTTGTCCCACCTTTGCATTGCTTTTCTCCTTAGGTCCCTCTTTAGCCTTCCTGGTTTTAGACCTCTAACTAATTGATGATTCCAACACAAAGGAAACCGATTTGGGGGGGGGGGGGAATATATATATATATATATATGAATTTGCTGTGAAATTTATAATAGGATCAGTTCAATCACCACCTACTAAGAAAATTCCAATCATGGTAAACGCAGATACAAAAAAAAAAAAAAAAAAAAGTAGTGATGGCCTCTGGCGGCTTGGTCAAACCTCTGCGCAACTCAACAATCTACTTGCACTCAGGGATCGATTCCAGCCCTCAGTTCTTCAAAACTGACGAGCACTTACAAAATGGCTACTCTTCAACCCTCCTTTTCAGAAACGCAGGCTTGGAGGGGGGGGGGGGGCCCGGGGTGTAGGAGTGGTGTTAATTTAATTCTAACACCTGAAATTGCCTCCTGGGCTTGTGCTAATTTTCTCGAAATTCAATTTTGCGGGGTTACCAGGATAACGTTTACCCTTCAGAAAGGAGATAGAATTGTAGTTTGGATTTTGCAAATATTTAACAACATGAAAATGCCGCCTTTTCTTATTCGGCGTGCGATTTCACTTTTGGTCCTCTTTTTAGGCGAGGCCAGCTTGATTCACAGTACACGTTACCTATAAATACCCAGCCTTTTCTGAACAGACCCAAGCTCGTTATAAACAAACCTCGGGCATTTTGATCCCTTCCTGGCATCTGAACAGGTGTGGCGATTAGGCTGAATGATCCCAAGTGTAGCGCGACATAAGAAAAAAATGTGCACTTAGAATTTAGGCCCCGAGATTAGAAATGGCTCATTCTTCCCCGTCCCCGCATCGTGCTGGAATTCCATCGGCCGCCTCAAAAATCCGTTTTATTTCTGCAGCAGGACCAGCAACGCAGGGAAGGCTGGGTCCTCGCGGCGCGGCCCGGGTCGGAGGCCCGAAGCCCGAGCCGGGTCTCCCCGCGCGCAGCCCGCGCCCCGCGTGGCCGCCCCGCCGGGCCCCAGCGCCGGGCGCCCCGCCTCTCCGGGCCGGCGGCGGCCATGGCGGCCAGGCAGATGCCGGCGTGGGCGCGCGCCGCGTTCAGGACGCAACCCCAAGCGACTCCGCCGCCGAAACCTCTCTGGGTCGGAGGAGGGTTCCGACAGCACCTCAGTTTAACCCTCTGCTCCGCTTCTAAGGAAGACGGCGGAGGTTCTGGGCTCCGCTCGCAAGGCGGACTAGAAGGAGCAGCGAGCAGTCGGGCGAGCGAAGAGTTAACAGCGGCCGAGAGGCGGATCGCAGACCTGCACGCCGCCGCGTGCGCGGTGAGGCCCCTCCTGCCCACCCCGCCCCGCCCCCAGGCCCCGCCCCGCCCCCAGGCCCCGCCCCGCCCCCAGGCCCCGCCCCGCCCCCAGGCCCCGCCCCGCCCAGGCCCCGCGGGGGCCCGGGATCCGTGCGCCTGCGCGCCCCGGGCCGAGGGAGTAGTTGCTGGAAGCCCGCGCAGTCCTTCCCTGGTGTCTGTCGAGCACGCGCGCTTCATGCTGTGACCGTTTCTCTTGAAAACTGTCCAGTTTGCTGTTCCGGGCAGAGGGTTGACGTATATCTGTACTAAGTGTGGGTCCTTTCTGATCAGCGTCCGAGCTCAACTCTGGTTGCAATTTGGAACCCGTCTTGATTTCTGTGCCTCTGTGTGTGTTGGGGGCGGGGTTGTTAAGCAATTGATGGAGGTAGAGAATCTGAGAGTCAGAGGAAAGATAGGTTGTGTGTTTATCTGCGTTATCAGTTAAACACTTCGCTGTCCAATGATGTTAATAATGCAAAAGTAAACCAAACATTTTTTAAGAAACTTTTTTTAACGTTTTTTATTTATGAGACACACACACACACACACACACACAATCTGAAACAGGCTCCAGACTCTGAGCTAGCTGTCAGCACAGAGCCTGACGCGGGACTGGAACCCACGAACCGTGAGATCATGACCTGAACCGGTCAGCCGCCCAACCGACTGAGCCACCCAGGCGCCCCTACACTTATTTTTAATTTAATGTTTGCTGCTGTCCTTTTTTCTCTCCATCCCAACAGCACAATTGTAAGGGAAACTATAATCAGGCATTTACATTCTCCCTAGACAATCTTGAGCTATGTTTTTCTCTGTTTGGGGCACTTGGCAATCCCTTAGCAGTACCAATATCACAACCTACCATTTCCACTCACGGTTTCTAGCACCCCAGACCACATAAGTTTAAGGGGAACATATTTATATTTTTATTATCTTGAGAGAGCAAATGCACTCTATCATGAAGATACAAAAGCGATGTAATGGTGTATTTAATACACCATGTGTGACCAGTCCTTGATATCTGGTGTTGCTTGCACCAAAGGAGTAGAGAAGAAAACCTTGGAGATTTTCTAAAATTGACCTTTTCTCCCCTACTGACAGTAGGCCCGGGAATCCACTGCTTGGCTCCTTCAGGTGTTGAAACTTCTGCATAAAGATTCATCAGGAAATGACAGGCAGTTTTTGAGTGTTCTTGTTTATACTCTATTGAAAATAACATGTGTAATTTGTTGCCATACATCACCATATAAATATGGTAAATATAAGCAAAAGTTTCATCCTTTTTAGAGCAAACAGCAGTGGCATGTAAAGACAGGTTCAGTCATCCTGGGAAAGGAACAATTTTTCTCACTGAGGAAATCCCCACTCGTTTCATCAGTGTTACGAGCACAGGCGAAATGACTATGAAGGAGACCAGAAGTAAATCCAGTAACAAGTTTGTTTTTCTTTTTCAACAAATCAGAGCCCCACCCCCACCTGCCTCAATGGTCCTTTTCCCACACCTCAAGGCAGATGGGTCTCTTAACTTTCTCGCCCTGCTGATCTGTATCTTGTAAACTGCCAGCATTCTTGTCGCATCTTTGTTGCCACCATTACCCCGAGGCTCCTCTACTGAGGACACATCAAGTTTGTGGGGGCAGCCAACAAGCCCAAAGTTCCTCAATCAACATGGAAAGCAGGAGAGCAGGCCCAAATGCAGGAGCAATCTGGTAGGCCTCCGGGTTGCTAGATGATTGCTCTCAGAAGACTCCCAGAAACTATGAGAGGTGGAAAGAAGGCCGCTAACAGAGTTCCCAGTGTTCTTTGGTTAGGTTTGGTTTTTCTTCCAAGTCTTTAAACCCAGGTTTCATAAAGAAGTGAGGTCTTGACAGTTGGTCCTTCTAAAGTAGTGTTTACTGCTCCCGGTTTTGTGTAATCTGCTTCTGTGGCTCCAAAAGATTTGAGAGGCCCTTTAGACTGGCCTTGAGATTTGCTTGCTGGATTTCTTTGGCCCTGGTCTGGCTTTGCTGGAATGCCTTAGAGTAGACTTAGACTTGAACTCTATATGTCGGTTACATTCTCAACCAGATTAAATATTTATTCATTAAGGAAGACACTCAGAAGAAGTAACTTGTGGCACATACAAAGGTATGTTAGAAGACATTCAGGTGTCATGCATAGTGTAATGAAAAGGTTCTGTACATGAATGCTGCAGTGTTACTTCGTGGTTAAATGAGTTATATAAAAAGCCCAAGAGAAAGTTCCTCTACAAAATCTCGAGGATAAATAATATCACCCCCGTGGCCCAAATCCAGAGAATAGGCCACATTATTTCCTTTGCCTTCATACTGTGTACTTGGGACACTTCTTAAAAACTGCGTTTGAATGTCAGTAGAGTATGCTTCCTTGAAGTGGTGTAGTAAAAGTTGCGTTTGATTGGCTTTGTGAAAGCTGTGAGTGTTAATATGTCAAAACAATACCTTTTTCACTTAAAAACAGAACTAACAACACTCCAAAAACAGAAAATAGTATAAAATGTGCAATGGGGTAACACATCATGAAGGTAAAGAAAAGTGTCTAATAATAGCAAGGTAATACTTTTCTGTAAGGACTGTTGGTTTTGATTAGCACCTCTTCTGTAAGTTTAAATCATTATCCACATATTTTAAGTACTGAAATTGCAACTGCAACTTCTGAGTGAAAGTTCATTTTCAGCCTCTTAAGCTCTTAAAGTCATCTAAATCACCTGTTATTAAACTTGTTACCTAGAAACTGAATGAAAAATACCTGAGCAGTGGCTACATAGTTATTGGGTATAGAGGAGTTCTTGTTTTTCCATCAACTTCTCATTTTTCTCAAACTGTATATTTTCACCTTATGTCACATAAAGTTGGATCGTATGTAATGTTGGAATGCATTCCGCCTTTAATTGCAAGTGCCACCAGAATTGCTGGGAAGAAGTTTAATATTGTTTAAAGAAAATCTTGCAGTATTTTATGAGTAGAGATTATGGTGAGGAGATATGGCGAATATTGAGATTAATGAATTGTTTCATTTCATTATTCTTCAGGCTGGCCAGCTAAACTATACAGATCCCGCTACTGGCTATACGGTGCTCACACAGCTTGCCCACTTGCAGAGAGGCACATGCTGTGGCTCCGCCTGCAGACACGTGAGTAGCAAATTCTCGCATTACACCAGCAGTTTTCAGTGCTTCTGTAACTTCGTAAATACCTATTATTTGAAAAACAAGACAAATAAAAAAAAAAGCTAAGTAGACCTGGAGTGCACTTTTCACAAGCTGCTTTAGCCAAGGACAACGAAGTCCTTGGGACCAACATAGGACCTTTAAAGTTAATGGAATTTTGTAACTTTTCATTGTGAGCATCAGTTCCTTGAAATGCTGTGATTTGAGATTCATGGGAGTTCTTTACTACAAGGAAACTTTTCATGAGGTTTCAAATAAGTCATGTTCACTAGGCAAGTACAAAGAAGGCAGAAAAGGAAATCCAGAATATTACAAACTAGATCCCAGACAGCATTTTTGTCTTTGTTATTAGCTGAATAAATAGAAATTTGATCAGCATTGTGAAGTGGGTTTCCTTTAAATGATAGTGTTTTCCTTCCTTCCTTCCTTCCTTCCTTCTTTGATTCCTGCCTTCCCTCCTTCCCTTTCTTTTATTCTTCTTCATTTCCTTCTCTCCCTCTCCCATCCTTTCTGTGGCTGTTTTCTACTCAATCTTCAAAACCATGAAGCTAGCTAACCCAAACTTAGTGCTGCATGTTTTCTAAAATGTGTATTTCAGTGAATGTATCTCTGTGCTCACTGATTAAGGTGAATTAACTAATCCTTCCCTATGTTGAGCAAAAATATAAATGGGATTGTGTTTGTCACTATAACTTTTAGAACATATTAGTAATTGGGGCACCTGGGTGGCTCAGTCAGTTAAGTGTCCAACTTCTGCTCAGGTCATGATCTCACAGTTTGTGGGTTCGAGCGCCACTTCAGGCTCTGTACTGACAGCTCAGAGCCTGGAGTCTGCTTTGGATTCTGTGTCTCCCTTACACTTTCTCTGTTGTCCCTCTCCTGCTCATTCATTCTCTCACTCAAAAATAAATAAATATTTAAAAAAATTTTAAGCATATTAGTAAGGTAAATTGTTATAGCATTAAGATTATACACAGGTGTAACGACCTCTATTTACAGACCATTTTGACTGTATGTTTGGGGGCAAGAAGGTATTATTCCTTTGACTAACCCACTTTACAATTAAGGAATAAACACCCAATGCATGTATTAACTGTAGCCAGTAATGGAAAATTAAGCCTTGACATTTATGTATGTTTCTACCTGTGCCATTAGCTGTTTCTAGTCAAATGCATGAGCTTTGCATAAATTGAGGACCTGAGAATCTTCTAAGCAGTACTTTTTTGACAGTAAAATTCTTAAAGTTGGAAGGATGCCTTTAGGAAGTGATTCTTGGACCCTAATTAAGACCATTTGCCAGAGGTTGCCATTATTCTCCTCTTATTCGGCAGGACCCAATAGATCAAATGATCTACATAGCATTATTAGCAGTCTCTCTTTTCACCATGAGAAGTGTTATACTTTTTCAAGAAGCTTGTTAAATAATTCAATAATAGTTTGTTTTATTTCTTCTGCAGTGTCCGTATGGTCAAGTCAATGTTAAGGATCCATCAAAAAGGAAGAAATTCAACTCATATTTTTATGTTTGACAACAATTTCATCTCTGTCCCCCATCTAACTGAGCCTGTATTTAAAAAAACAAAAACAAAAACAAAAACAAAAACCCAAAAATTTGAATCTGGAATTGCTCTCTGTGCGGTTCGTCCTTGAGCACTAGTTTAATCATAAGTACATATATTAAAAGAACATCAATGAAATGAAAAAGCTAGCAAATGTTTGTGTGTTTCTAAAGTGGCACACTGATAGTTATTTTCCTTTCTTTTTGCTTCATTATCAGACACATATGTTGAAGAAAGAAAATAATGACTGTTCCATTAAATAAATAGTAGCAATCGGGTCACATTAGGAGCTCTCGATTTTTCTTATAGCCTCCGTTCTCCTACTGTTTCCTCCTCAGTGTTAGCAACCCAAGGGAGGTTGCTGGCAAATAGAAGGGTTTGAATACTGTCTTCATTTTATTTATACCTCGAGCTATAAGAAGATTGATATAATGCTATATTGTGCAGCATATGAGTGCCCAGGAAGTGCCATTCTGCGTTAAGAAATGCTCTCATCTTCCATCTGTTCTCTCAATAAAAACTCTAAATCATTCTGACTTGAGGGTCAGGACCGCTTAAGATGCCTCTGATTAGACCATTCTTTCTTCTCTCCCCCCCCCAGTCTCCTCCTCCATGTCTCATGGCACTACCCAGGCAAATCTGTCCTAGGACACCCTATTAGCTTTATACCTATTCCATTCACTGCAGTGACAGCTTTGGGTAGCAGGATGCAACCTAGGTTAGGAGCTCACAGGAACTATTGTTTCTACCCTTCTTCCCTGTTTCCCTCTGAGGACAATGGTCCCAGAATGCCTTTTCTTTCCCAATGGAAGCTGTTCAGTGAAACGTGGCTGCTGTGCGTTGGAAGTCTGGCTCTGCCCAGAGCTGGCCCTCAGCCTTTCCTCCCAACAGAATCCAAAAGGCTCTCAGTCATCTCAGGACTCTCTCTTGGGTTCTGCCGATGGCCTGCACAAGAGGTTTAGAGATCTGGAGCAACCACAAGATTCTGGTGCCTTCTCACATCTTTGATTCAAAGTAAGAGCCATTCTAAACTGTAAAATAAGTGGAAAAAGAATGCCGGTAAGGTTCTGATTTTCCCCTTGATTGTGATTTATGCTGTTATTTTTATGTCAAATATGAAACTGTTTTCCCAGAGTGTTGGCATTTTAGTGCCTCAGTTTTGCTAGTGCCCCCACTGTGGTGCCCTACATAACCCTGCCCTTGGACCATGTGAGGTGTTGAAAAAGGCAGTCTTTGTGGCCTGGTGCTGTCCTCTCTAGAAATCATTTTGAGGAGGGAAATAGGAGGAGGAGGTAAGCATTACGACTGTGAGGCAGTTAGACTTTCCAGACAGGTTTATGGACTCCTGGGAGCCAATTTCCTTTCTATTCTCAGGTCAAGAAGCAACCGGATAGCTCAATGTTTTCCACCAGATTTGAAGATTACCAAGTCCATTTTCTGGGTGGGAGCTGGATGGTGCTTTCTTCAGCAGTCCCAAAAGAGAGAAGAGAAAGAAATGGAGCCTGAAAAGGTCATCTTTCTGGAGAAACAAGAGAAAGTGGAAAGGAAGTTCATTTTGAAAAGCACCCCCCCGCTGCATGTAAGGCAGTGTTTTGACAAAGCCCCTTGACAGATGAAAACAACTTATGGGATGTCTCCTTCCTAGAGGCAGCTCCTTCCTCCTCCCAGTGGTCTTCCTACCTAAGGAAATTGGCCAGAGAAAAAGGACTCCTAAGTCCATCAGGGATGATTGTCGTGTAGGACTCTTCCTGGTAGAACTTCAAGCTTGGGCAAGAAGGAAGTAGTAGCTGTTGGAGGCAGGGGAGGGGAGCGCTCTTACTCTCTCCAGCACCTGGGGTGGGGCCGGGCAGCCAAGGGCTGAAGTTCTCTGCTGTGGTTCTGAGGAGATGCTTGTGAATCACACATTAAACACAATATGGCCACATAAATGGGCCTCACTGCAAGAGCTCCAAGCTATATTGTATTCACACGTTGTAAAGTAAAAATTCAGGTTTCTTATAGGGTGTGTGTATACAAACACATGTGGATGCTGAGAAATAGAAACTTCCCAGTTTAAGTCAACTCTGGCGCTGCTCCCCTTTCACGGTTTCTTGAGATTCCTATCGTAGGTCACCGTAAGTCAAGGGGAATTAATTTCTAGATGTTTCCAACATAGACCCAGCAGAACCTGGGGAACTCGGGAATCTTCTTATGGGGTTTACCTCGGTGGAGGATGGGCATAGATTCCTGAAGCAGGGGTGCTTCCCTTCTCTGTGGGAAGGGCCCTGTCCTGGTAGTTTTCACAGCAGGTGAATTGCAATGCACACTTCATTCTCTTCAGAAGACTTGGGGGCCCATTGATTTTGCAGAGCAAGGAAGAGAATAGCCTCCCCCCGCACCCCCCCCCAATGAAACCTGGGGGTCCCAAACCTGATGTGTTTGGGAAAGAAGGGACCACCAGAAGGAGAGATAGATGCTACTGGGCCCTGCACCGACCTTTGTTCTACCGCAGTGCCCCTTATCCAAGGCATTTGAAAAGTCTGTTCCTCTCGCGCGTTTCCACTACCAGAAAGCAGCTGGGTTTAAATTAATCTCCAGACAAAGCTAGGGAAGGGAGCTCACTACCGGGCGAACGGCATTTAGAGTGCCGCCTTCCTCTTAGCACTTAGAGACCTCACAGTCTGTAGCGAGCCCAGAAGGGACCTCCCTCTCCACTCCATACCGATACCTGCCATATCATCTCTCCGTTCCACTGAAGGCTTGAGTTTGTGGACGTCTGCTCCTGGGGGAAGATTAAAAGTCGGTGCTATTTTTCACTACCCTGCAACAATTAAAAGGCACTTCCGGGTGCCAAAACTCTCCTCTGTCCTCAACGACAACAAAAAATTCAGATGTTTGTGCGTGCGTGCGTGCGTGTAGTTGGGAGGGGATTGTCTACACCGTCTTGCACGCCTCTGTGGAGAACTTGGCTTCTGAGAAAAGGTTGGGGAGGAGCCCGCAGCTATTTTTACTTGGGGGTTAAGTCATTCCGGGACGCCCAGCCTACCCGGGATCCCCGCGTGCCCTGCTGTGAGTGGGCACCCCAGGCGCTGAACCGACGGTCGTCCCTGCAAACGGTTTCAAGGTTGGGCTCCTGACACACGACCTCCATTTTTGAGACTATAGGTGTAAAAGTGAGTGTAAACCTGGGAATCATGGGCTCTAGAGGGACTGGGAGATTCATGACGACCCCATCCTCCCACTCGAAATTTGTAGAAAGTGTGAGCTCCAGTGTGCGCTTCAGTGAGCGCGCACCTAGTGTGTGTGTGTGTGGGTGTGTAGAATCCCCCCCAAATATCCAAAATAATTCGTGACCCCAAAGAGGATAAAAGCCGCTGCTTTGAAAAGGAGTGAATGAAAGACCTAAGCGTTTCTGGTCGGTATCGCCAACCATCGGTTCATTAGCCTCGCCCGGCGAGCATAGAAACTAAACTTGAGAGGCTCGTCTCCTCCCTGGCTGCGAAAACGGACCGAAATGGGGAGTGGGGGGTGGGTTCTGGAGGAGAGAAAGAGCCAAGGGGACCGGGATGAGAAGGGAAATATCGGGGGCGAGGGGAACTTAAAGGTAAACTAGTGGAACCGGACGGCGGGTGGGACTGGCCAGTGAAGCCAAGCGTTCGAGAGGAAACCAGGGTCTCTGTCCTGGGCGCTCTGAGCTACATTCCAGGATTTGGGACGGAAAGAGAAAGCCAGAGGGCTTGGATCCGTGGCTCCCGCTGGATACTTTACCCCCCACCCCCACCCCCCCAAGCTGTGTGGCGGAGCTTGCGGGTCTGGTGAAGAGGTGGTCCCCCTCCCCGCGCGCACAGCCTCAGGCGCCCGCATCCCACACTAGTTTCTCAGGCGGCTGATAGGAGCGCGGGCAGCCCAGCCCTCGGCGCCCTCTGCCCACGCACCGCGGAGGAGCCGCGCGGGTGGCACCGCGGGGAGGGCTGGGGAGGGAGGGCCGCTCGGGCACCGGGACCCGCAGCCCGCAGCTGCCAATCTCGCTGCTCACACGCCCTTCCCGCACTCGCGCAGGAGCCTCGCAGCAGTCCCCCGCCCCCCGTCTCCGACTGCGGAGGGCGCACTGGGTGGGGGCGTGAGTAAATAATTGGCCAGCGGCCCGGCTACCCGGTTCTCGCTCTGCTTCCCCGAGGCCCGACTGCGCCCTGGGCTGCTGGGGCGACGCAGCCCCTCGGGAACCTGACACCAGGTAACCTGGCCCCCGCCCCGTCCTGGCTCTGGGAGTCTGTCCGTGTCCCCAGGAATGCTCATCCCGCAAGATTTGAGTCGGTTTTCTCCCGGTTAGTCGCCATCCGCACCTCCTAGCGGGGCCGGTGGGAGAGACACCTCGAGCCCCGCGCTGACCCGGCTGGGAATGCCGCTGCAGCGCGCGGAGTGCATCTCCAAGCGCTGGGTCCCTGGCACCTGGCCCGGGAGCGCCGAGAGCGGAGAAGGACCGGGAGGGGAAGGCGGTGATGCAGCGGGGGCGCAATCAATGGCTTAGCCCCGCTTCCCGCAGGAGCTACCGCCCATTCACGGTCTATGCAGGCACCAGCTGGCGGCAGCATCTTTTAGGTACAAGCTCCAGGAAGGCACAGGCCTGCTGGGGGGCCGGGAGCCCAGGGCGCGCCGCGGGACCCCAGCACCCCCGCTGCGCCCAAGCCTCAAGATGCTCAGGGCTTTATGAGGTTCAGTTACAGCCGAGTCCTCCATTAACACCTCCCCTGATTATTGAGAGGCTGCAAGGGCTGAACGCAGCCTCAGAGCGTGTCTCCGCGCACCAGCCCGCGTCTGTGCCCTCTGCCCACCCCTTCCTCCTCCTCCCGATTTGGAAGCATAAACTGAAAATAAAAGACAGGTGGAAGGAGCTGCGGGTCAGAGGTGAGGGAATCGGGTCAATTCCGAGAGAGGGAGAGAGAGAGAGAGAGAGAGAGCGAGCTTGATTTGCACCCAACGGTTTATTTATTTGGATTAACAGAGGAACCCTCGGCAAGACCTGGGGACCAGCCCGCACCTCTGGCCGCAGCCTCCCGCCCTCCCTCGCCGAGGATCAGGTTCTTGGGGGGAGAAGTCTGGACCTCAAGGTAAGATCCCCACGGGGGCTGTCTCGTCGGAGCAGTTCACCGGCCTGGGTGTGCGCCTGGACGGCCGGACGCCCCAGGAGCGTCTCGGGCTCTAGCGGGGGCAGCCTGGGCTTCACTCTCAGCCGGCC